GAAAAGGAAAATGGAGGAGATTAAATACTCCAAGGAGGCGTTTTTTCTTGATGGTCTTCCGCAAGTTACCACCTCCATCTCTCTTTGAGGAGGGAACTGCAGCAAGAGAGACATTCGGAAGCAACAGATGCATTAAAACTCATGGAGCACCACAGAGACGGCGCCACCAAGAGATAGCTAAACACAAGTTGCTTGCAGCATGAAAAAGTTCCCTCGACTCATTTAGCTTCTCCTTACCGAATGCCGTGAGCCACATGATGACTCCGGATGATAGCCCAGGCACCGTCGAGTGCATCGGGGATCCTTTAATCAGGTCTCGGGGCGATCCGTCAATCAATGAGTAGGAGTCGAAGGCGAAATATCGCAGCTGGGGGGGGAGAGCAAGGGAATGAGATTGTGTGATCGGAAAGTTGTAACCTAACCACCTTCATCATCAGGCCATGGATTCTGACGACGAGGGAAGCCCTCATGAACCGCTGTCGCTGGCTCCCCGGATACCCGTGGTAAGTCCTGACCCTCATGCACTCGCTCTGCAAGAGAAGAAGCGATCAAAGTCCACGTCCTCTTCGTCGAGGATGACTTCAAATGTGTTCACGGAGGCCAGGAGGAGGCGAACATGGCTGACGACTGCGATGAGGGGAGCGCTTCTGCTGGAAGACTCTTCCTCCTCAGACGATTCCACAGCATTGAAGACAGCAGTGCACTCTGAGAGCGATGAAGAACTATCGGAACCAGCGGAGGAGGCACCGGACGAGACGAGGAGGAAGAACCTTTCGGACTTCGAGCTCGGGCGGTTGACAGAGCTGATGCGGGTGGAGGCAGATCGCAAGAGCAGGAGGGGATTCAGATGGGCATGGCTGGTGGAGGCGAAGGAGCAGGAGGACGCTGACTGCAAGCTCTCGAACGTGTCCAAGGAGGAGAGCGACGTGAGCCCGTCCTTTGTGTACTCCAAGAGCGGATCAGAAGGCTCCCCAGATCAGACGCCAACCTTCGAGACAGCCAAGGAAGGGGCGTCGATAAGGATCCCTGCTCCTGAGTTCCCGTCCCGGCAGGAGGAGGGCGCTGAGCTGCAGGAGGCTCGCGCGAGGTGACGAGGAGGGAGAGGAGGGAGGGAGTGTGATCGCGCTGTTGCGCACAGGCTGAGAGAGCTGGAGGACGAGCTGAGAAACGCGACGGAGAATCTTGCGAACGCAGCGGCAGAGATCGAGAACCTCGTGGAGCACAACATGAAGCTGGAGAAAGCTCTGTCGAAGACGGGGTCCAGGTGGGAGTTGTTGGGACGGGGAGGAGAGTCGGACTGAGGGGCTGGGCTGTAGGTTGAAGGAGGCCACGGAGGAGGCGTTGCAGCACAGGAAGATGATTCTGACGTTGGAGAAAGACATTTCAGAGACGCAGAGAGCGAAGATCACAGCGGACGAGCAGGTCAGGAGCCGGTCCTCAGGCTCTCGAGCTGATGGATGTCCGCTGGGCAGATTGAAGGGCTGGAGAGCAGCAAGACGAAGCTGCAATCTGAGATCGAGAGGCTGGAGGACCTGGTCAAGGAGAGGCAGGTAGGCGAAGTGATCATTGTACACCTTCCTCCTCCTCAAGATCTTCCTGTCGTCTCTCGCCCTCAAAGTCCTTCCGTCCCCTCCCTGCTCCAGTCGCCTTTCCCTTGCTTCAATAGTCTCCAGACATGAGCTTCCGAACCCCTCTTCCACCTCCCCTCTTTCTGCTACCATTTGGCTCCATCCGCCCTCGCACTCTCTTCCTCTTCGTGGGATGTCGGAGATCGCTAACTTCATCACAGGAAGCGATCATCGCCGTCACCGATGAGCAGAGAGACTCTGCACAGCGAGTGATCAACGAGACTCTCGCACAGTTGCAGGAGGTCCAGGAGGTAAACGCGTCAGTGGCCTCGCCCTCCCCTTCTGTCCTCCTCGAACTTGTTCCCAATCTGCACACCCTCCATGCTGCCGATGCCGTCCTCTTCAGCTCCCCCCCCCCCCCCCCCCCCAACACACCTCTTCCTCCTCTGTCGTTTTGTCTGACTTGGCCTGCAGGCGTGGACGGAAGCGGAGCAGAAGGCGCAGGTGAGCATTCTTGGCTCCTCCTCCCTGCTCTACTTGCCCTTGTAGCTGACGAGCGTACAGGCGCTGACGGCAAAAAGTGACTCGCTCAGCAGGGACCTGAAGCAGAAGAGCTTGTCCTTAGACGCGGCGAACGCCTCGCAGCAGGTGATGCAAAGCAGGGTGAAGGCGCTGCAGAGCGAGCGAGACTACCTGAACAAAGTGATCGAAGAGTCTGAGGAGAAGGCGAGGGAGGCGGGCGCGCAGATCTCGTCCCTCACCTTCATCCAAGCGCAGCGGGAGCGGGAGAAGGAGGAGGCGATCAGCAAATGCGCCCAGCTCGAGAGCGAGAGGGACAATGCGCTCCGCATGTGCAAGGAGATGCAGCCGAAGCTGACAGAGCTGGAGGAAGAGCTGAGGGTCAAGGACGAGCTGCTGCGGAAGATGGAGAAGGAGCTGCAGGAGAGCCTGACGACGCACCACGCACTGATCTCCGACCACATCAACAGGGAGCGTGACCTCACCGGCCTGCTCGTCACCACCTGCGAGCAGCTCTTTCTCCCCCCAGCTGAGGTCCAGCACCCCGAGTTGTCGTCAAGCTTCAGCGAGCACGCGCTGACGTTCTCGAAGCAGCTCGACGACCACGAGTTCGCCATCGTCGCGAGCGACAGCCCGATCAAGGGCATCATCTTCTCCAACTCGATCAGGAACGAGACTTCTGTGCTGGAGGGCAGGGGGGGGGCCACCACGGCCCTCACGGCCGAGCTCGGTTTCCTCAGGAACAGCAGCGGGGACAGCGACAAGGCCAAGAGGGCTCGAGCTCAGTCGAGGCGGCAGATCTTCACAAGCAAACAGCTCGAGAAGCAGAAGGCGAGGAGGGCGGAGGCTTCGGATGCGACCCCCCAGCTGCATCCCACCTCTCCTTCCTTCCCGTTCACCACGGACCTTCTCTTCATGCCTGAGAAGCACGAGACGGAGGAAAAGGAAGGCGAGGAGGAGGACGAGGAGGAGGAGGAGACTGCAGGTGGAGGGAATCTTCTGGAGCAGAAAGTGGCTGGCAAGGCGGGAATGGAGGAAAGGAGTGGAGAAAAGGAGAAAGGGAACCAGAAGGCACAAGGGGCAGGGGACGGGCTGAGCAATGTACAGCGGCAGGAGGAGGTGCAGGTGGAGCCGAAGGGGACAGTCGGGGGTTGGGAGCAGGGAGAGGTTGAGCTACGAGAGGAGAAGATGGAGGAGCAGGAGCAGGAGCAGGAGCAGGAGGCAAGCGTTGACCTTGAACCTTGGGCTCCGTCCTTCCAACGCCGAGAGCCGACCTTTCCAGCGGTGCCCGAGGAGCCGGCTCAGGTGGAGGAGAGCTCGAGGGTGCTGGAGTCGCTGCTGAACGAGAGCAAAGCTGAGAACCTGCTGGAAAGGCGCGAACTTCTCAACCAGCAGGAGAGGATGATCCAGAGGCAGATCGAGCAAGTGATGATGCAGTTCCCTTCCTCCCCAATCCACCTTCCTGCAGCTCCTTCAAACGTACCTAGCGGCTATATTCCAGCCCCGGCACCAGTACCGGCACTTGCACCTGCTCTTGCTCCTACTCCAGCACCAGCACAAGCATCAGCATTAGCATCAGCATCAGCACCAGCACCAGCACCAGCACCAGCACCAGCACCAGCACCAGCACCAGCACCAGCACCAGCACCAGCACCAGCATCAGCACCAGCACCAGCACCAGCACCAGCACCAGCACCAGCACCAGCACCAGCACCAGCACCAGCACCAGCATCAGCATCAGCACCAGCTCCCGATCGTGCTCCAGCTCCATCTCCATCCCGAGCCCCCGCTCCAGCTCCGCTTCCAACATCGCAAGCAACTTTTCTCGGAGGAAGGGAACGGGATGAAGCAACCTTCCTCCCTCGCGTGAGGGAGGAGGAGATTCGACCTCTTCCTCTGCGGGTGGACCAGGCTGTTGCCTGGAGGGCAAGAGGATCGGAGGATCAAGTATGGGAGGAGGCGGAGCTTTCATCGGAGCGAGGGAGGAGGAGGACGGGGGATGATTTTAGCCCTCGCTCAATGCAGGAGAGGCAGAGGGAGGCGAAGCCTGTGCTTGCTCAGGATGATCTCGGACACAAGTTGACCTTCGGCAACGATCGCATGCAGGAGCTCGAGGCCCAACTGGCGCTTCTGGAGATGCCGAGGAGCAGGAGGTCGGAGAGTGATCTCCGGCTGCTCGGCCCCAGCTTCTCTTCCAGCAGCACGAGCAGCAGCGAGCTCGAGCTGTTCTCTCGCAAGCCCTCGTCCGAGGTGATGCGGCAGGACCTGCTGGAGGCACAGAGGATGCGGAGCGAGGAGATGAAGGCGGCAAGGGAGGAGGAGGAGCGCACGCTGAAGGAGTTACACGCTAGAGGATACTCTGGCTTTGTCCTTTCCTCCTCCTCCTCCATCAGCACAAGGATCGCTGGGTCCAGTGTGAGCAGGTCGAGAGGAGGAGATCCGTTGACGCTTCCTCCTCCCCCTCACGTCCCGATGAATCTGAGAGGTCTGGGGTCTCAGCGGCGGTCAGCTCCTACTCCCCAAAAGATCACTCAGAGCTTCGCTGGAGAGAGACAGATTGGAAGAGGAGGAGGAGGAGGAGGAGGAGGAGGAAGCGCCTTCCTTCAGCTCTCGGATCAAGAGATCAAGAGCACGCTGGAGTCGCTGCCAACCAAGTCGGAGCAGCGAGGCGAGAGGACGCCGCTGGACGTGCTGAGCAGGCATGGCAGGGAGCGAGGGGGGAGGCGGAGGCAGCGAACAGGAAAGAGCTCTACGATGATGAGCTCGAG